TATATATATATATATATATATATATGTATTGTCATCCATAGACAGACTGTTTCGCAGTATCACATTTATTCATTGTGGCTAGACGTCCGATGACGTCACACCGGGAATTTTTCTTCGTCGCATGGCAGAGAGGAAAGGAAATTGTGTGTGTGTGTGTGTGTGTGTGTGTGTGTGTGTGTGTGTGTGTGTGTGTGTGTGAGATCCTTTTACCCCAATCAAGTACTCGGGGTTTACAGGGATTGAAAATGAGAGAAAAGACTGAACATGGGGAGGATTGAGGAAATAAAATGAACGAGATTCAAGGAGATAAAAGATGGCGAATGAGATTGTATTTAAATTTTGAAGATTGTAGTTCTCAGGGAAGCAATAAACTGAAGAGAATTCTACAGGTGGGAAATGCGAGAAAAGGAACTGTTTGAGTAGTAGTGGCGGTTTCATTTTGCTATTTCACTAGTAAAATATGTGACCTGTCTCTCTCTCTCTCTCTCTCTATATATATATATATATATATATATATATATATATATATATATATATATATATATATATATATATATATATATATATATATATATATATATATATATATATATATATATATATATATATATATATATATATATATATATATATATATATATATATATATATATATATATATATATATATATATATATATATATAGATAGATAGATAGATAGATAGATAATGGATAGATAGGCTTGGATTGAGGAATCGCAGAGCCGAGTTCGAATTCCAGTCGAATCCATTACATTCACTTACGGACTAATACCCTTAGGAAAGGTTTGAATCCTGTTCCTCTCCCTCCAGCTATGGGTAAAATAGCAGGACAGACTGGGTTCTATAGCCTTGGATGTCAACTGGTCTAGGAGAGGGACAACTCTGAATTCAAAACCTGCGGAGGGTCTTTTGGAACCTTGTGGCACTCGGTGCACCAGGTTTCTGTATTCGTCCCTTCAAAAAGTGTAGATGGTCCTGCACGAAACCTTCACAACTATAATCAAATCTCATGTGCCGGTGTCGGGCTGTCTGTTTCTTGGAAACTGATCTGTTTGACCCTCATACGTCGAATCTCGACAGGAGAGTCGACTACATATATATATATATATATATATATATATATATATATATATATATATATATATATATAATGGACTCTCCCGTCCTCCCGTCGGTTTGGCCGTTTGAGGATCTGACAGCTTACTTCATTCAGTTATGGAATTTTGTGCGATAATCTTAAGTAGCATTTGAGATCTGCTAGTGAATTACAAAGGAGGCCACATATGGAACAAGTGTGAGGATTGTGAGATGAGATCACTCTTAGATTGACTGACTTTTTAGATCTTGCTCTCGCTTCTTGAAGATGATTCAGACAAGCAAAATGAAAATTACTTAGTCCACTGAAACACGTTGATCTCCATTCTATCCGCTCCATGGCTAAGCGCTTAAGGGTGTTATTTGGTATATTAATTGCTGACAAGTTGTTTTTCAGATTGTTTTTGTACATTAGGATCTTGTGTATCCTGTCATCAGACATTCTCAAGATATGACCAGTCCACTGTAACTGAGACTGTATGATAAAAGTCTCGATTCCTATCTATACATACATACATACATATATATATATATATATATATATATATATATATATATGTGTGTGTGTGTGTGTGTGTATATATATGTATATATATATATAAAGTGAGATAGAGAGAGAAACCTCTTGTAACCTATGATATTTTTGTGAAATAATTTTTATTTATTTATGAAATTACTAAATGTATATTTGAAGCAAAGTTGTAAACAGGTTTATAGAAAATTTCCGATTGGTTAGGTTGAAATAGATTTCATCGTTAACTGTTTACATATCTGAGATGAGGTATTATGATTACTTACATTAATTACATTATTGAGACTGTTATTCTCACCTTCATTGACATATTCTTAACCATTCGGCCGGTGAAATTTCGCAGCGAACACTTTATTTCGACCACAGGGTTAGATTGCATAGAATTAATAAACATAGGAACCATTATTAAATCTGGTTAAATAATTCAATAAAAACAACATAAACATTGCAATACGAGCACGGGTAAAAAAAATGTAGCTGGGACATTTGATTTATAAGTCCCAAAATATCTTACCAGGATCATCTCACGGACACATGGCGCAGTGGTTAAAGGTGCTGTTTAGATTCAGTGATTATCCCCAAATTGTTGTGGATTCAATACCCGACTACAGCTGTGTTAAAACCAAAACTTGGAGAGGTTTAGTTAAAGGAAAATAACTGAGACATTTCGAATAGGCATGGTTCGTGGAACTAGAACAACCCACCCTGTTGTATGAAATTAGGGAAGATAATAGATGAGATACTTTAAAAAGGAAGCATTATATGAGAATTAAAAATATATATAAAATTGAAAAGATAGCCTTAAAACAAAAAAGATAAAGATAAAATTCTTTACAATATGAAAAAAGGAACGAGTGAGAAAAAAATGGACTAAGAGAGAAAAAGAAAAAAAAACATCACTATGTTAAACGTAAAGAGACTGAGAACAACAGACTCCGATAATGAGAATACAGTGTAACCCGGATATAAGAGACCCTGATATAAGAGAAACCCGGATATAAGAGATATTTTCTCTGGTCCTAAATTAGAGCCTGTGTTAATGTATATAAAATAGACCAAACCCGGATATAAGAGAAACCCGGATATAAGAGACTTCTTCTCCGGTCCCGACAACTCTCTTATATCCGGGTTACACTGTGTTAAATTAAATCAAGGAAGGAAGAAAAGAAGAAAGTAATTATTAATAATATAATCTTGATATTAAAGAAAGAATATATAATATATATCGTTTAAAGACAGACGCATAATGTTAAAGAAAAAAGAAATGAATAGAAATAAAGATAGAATGCGCCAAATCATAGTAAACATACAAGGAAAGGATTAGCAAGTAAACTATCTTCAATAGATGGGGCAACGTGGAAGAAAGAAAGGAAAAAAGAAAGAAAGAAAGAAAGAAACAGAGAAGCATTAAAGAAAAAATGAAGAAAAAGCGCATGAATAAAAAAAAAGAAAAAGACTAATTGAAAAAGAAATACAACTAAAACAAAGACACATGAAAATGAAGGAAACCGAAAGAAAATGAAATAGTTTTGAAAAAAAAATAAAACAAAAGAAAGAGATATCAAAATAGGAAGCAAGAATGAAAGATAGAAAAAGGAAAATCTGAAAAAGGGAAAAGTAAAAGAAAAGTAAACGAAAGGAAGGAAATAAAATAATGAATTAGAAAAAAGAAAAAAATGAGGAAAACGGAATACAAAAATACAAAATAGGACGAATGGTAGCAAAAATAAAGAAAAAAGAAAGAATATTTCAATAATAAAAAATGAAAGAAATAAGGTTAGAAAGGAAGATGATGTTTGCATATGGATGAGAAAGAAAACATGATTTTCACCTTGATGTAAAAAAGAAACTTTCAGAAAAACGATAGAAAAGAGATGCACAAAATTAACCGAAAAAACATCAAAACTATATAATTAATGAATATATTTATGTAAATCAAAATAAAAAGCATTGAATTTTTTATGGTTAAGGTAATAATAATATTAGCCATTTACCTACAAGGAAACATTTCATATTCATTGACCGAGCAATCAGTTCGATTGAAATTTATAAAACTTACTTATAGGAAAATAGGTTTCTCAAGTCCAGTAGCTGTTATCGCTCTTTCCAATATTCAATGGGTTTTCTTTCCTAAACTTTTATTTGAAATAGTGTAGAATGTGATCATTATAATTATGACATTCTTTTCTTTTGGATTTATATGTTTACACGATTTTAGTTGTTGCTGCTGTTTGTAGTCTTCACGTAATGTGGTTTCTGATATTGGCTCAGTTCTTTGTTTGCGATTCTGAAGCGTCACTCCACAATGATATTGACAATGCCAATAATATCCAGAATCACACAATACTTTAGAAAACATAAGGTATTTATAAATAATAAGCCACATCATTCAGCATTGTCGGATAAAGTCTATGAATAAGAAGACAAATATTCATCGGTAAAAAAATACATCAGTAGAAGCCCAGGTAGATTTATTTATATACATTAATTTATCTACCTTTAAATGTGTGCAATTGCACACTTGCTATGGATGTGTGTACGCGTGTCAATGACATATGAGTGTGTATGAAGATAGAAATATTTCTGATTTGTTTACTCTATATTTGTCTGAGCTTATAAGGATTTAAATTAGATTCTGTATACTCATATAGACATTGACTACACATCGGACAATATATATATATATATATATATATATATATATATATATATACAGAATGATGGGGAAATAATTTTTTTTCTATATGACCTAGAGCAATCTTATTGACTTCACCAAGTATCCGAAGTCTTGCACGGAAGTGTAATGGTGTGGAACACTGGCTTTCTCTTTTTTTGTCATTTCTAACGCGACCAATCAGTTGTGAACCCGTCTGTTGAGAAAATTGCATCAGCGACTGGTGCAAGTATATGGGAAAAGACAAAAATGGAAGCTATTGTACAATTGTGTTTTCTTTTTTCTTATTCTTTTTGCTCTGACGTATAAAAGGCAAGTCGATAAAGACCACATAACTAAAATTAGAAAATTATTTTCCAGCTTTGAAGGGGTCTAGATGATTGTCTTTCTCTTTACGTGGCTCCTTTTGTCCTTGTATTATTATTATTATTATTTTAGTACTAGTAGTATTAGTATTATTATTAGTAGTAGTAGTAGTAGTATAACTAGTAGTAGTAGTAGTAGGAAGCAGAATCTGCAATTATTTCTATTCTTGTTCTTCATATGAGGTCTATATCTACATTTTACCGATGCTGGTTGGCACACAAAAGCTGAGACCGCCTTTCATCGATTGAATAATATTAACGCTTCAAAATTACACTGTTTTCCCCAGTACATCTTATTGCAATCAGGCTTACAGCCACATTACGTTGAAACACCCTTTCCCATACAATCGTGGAAGTTAAGCAACGTCGAGCCTGATCAATACCATGATGGTGGAAGGCTTGGGAATATCAGCTGTTGTAATCTTGGATATGTGAGTGGTGTAATGGATAATGGCTCGGAATCTTTAACTGGAGAACCGAGTTCAATTCCCGTTGGGTCCGTTATATTCACTTACGCGCTAATACCGTTGGGTTTGCATCCATATCTTCTCCCCAGTCTATTAGTTAATTAGTATCACTAAGCGATTATTACCCACGTCAAATTCTTAAAAAACAACAAATATATTCTAAAATGGATTGATAAAGCGTAGAAAACGAATCAATCAATTATTGCAATCAATTTTTAAATGTGTTTGGATTCGTCGCATGTTCCTGTTCTTTTACCTGTGCTACTCCAAGACGATATCGGCTCTCCACGACATCTTGCCTTTCGTACGTTTAAGAAATGTTTGTCTCATAAGCACCCTCTCCATCCATTTTAGGCCATTCATTTACGCAAGCTAATTAGGTAGCCTATTAGCTCTTTCCCTGTTTCTGTTGCATTTAATATGTCTTGTGACTGTCAGATTCTGAAAGAACATTATCTGCTCCAGGAATCTCATCTCTCTCCATCTAATTCTAAGAAAAAGTGACCTTTTTGTTGACATTCATCGTAAAATCTCCACATTTTTGACAAGCTACGTTCATGGTATTCTTTTCTCTTTGACACGCTCTTTTAACTCTTCCTCTGTGAGGAACAACATTCACTGACATATACTTAATTGATTACATAACTCTTCATGATAAGTGATCAGCTGATCTCTGTTCTGATCTTGCAGTAACTTCTTAATGGAGAAAAAATGGCTGATTACAATCAATGCCTCGAAAATCAAACTGGTTACATTCCAACAAAATCATGACCTCAAGTAGAACTCATACATAGATCAATCGTACAAATGCTGATAAAATGGACCGCTCTTGTAAGTAGATGGCTCATGCTATCCTCTACCTTTACAAGGTCAGGTTGAAAATGGAGCATTGATGCCATATTCTGGGGCTCCCAAGTCCTCATGTTCCAGGCTCAATAGCATTCAAAATCGTTTACAAGTCCTTGTGGCTGACAAATTATTTCCATCCTCCAAACTCTTTATCACAGGCGTGACGTGGCGAGCCTCACACTGCTCTATCTCTACTGCCATGGAATGTGCTCGGTCGAACTATATTCCTTTGTTCCACCAAGCCTAAACTTCACGGCTAAAAACCGCCATGCCACTTACATTTTAACAAATCACCCTTCCTCCGGATTCCATCGGTAAGTTCTAAGTTCCACACGAAAAATTTCTTTCGGTGAATCACTGCTCTGTGCAACAAACTACTAAGAGGATATTTCCCCGATCAGTAAAATCTTAAACTGTTTAATCTGGAGTTAACCGTTATCTTCCTATCCTATCCGTATAGCGTAATCCTCTACCTCGAGTTCTCCCTGGCTTTGTACAGAGTGAACCAACCTTCTGTTAAATATATATATATATATAAATATTTCGCCATATCTTTTTTGTTTATAGCGGAAATTTACTATTTAGTTATAATATGTTTATCTCTTTCGAATGTCTTTCTGTCATCTGTTAAAACACTTCGCAGACATTTGAACTTTCTGTACTTACAGTATTTTGATTTGTACGCTTCGTAGGCAACATCTTGTTCTGTTTCTCATGTTAACGACTATATATTCTCTCTACTTACAACTGATGATTAGTTTAATATTTTGTCTGGAGGTCCCTGCAGAATCTGTCATCAACCCAGTAATCCTTATCGGCATGATGATCATTCTTTGATAATGCAACTATTGATCCTTTTTCTGCGTATGCTTTCTAATAATTCTAACTTCTGTCGAGTTCTAAATTTAATGTTTGATAATGATCACTTCCTTTATTTAAATCAACTCTCTTTGTTTGATTCAACTTGCTATGCCCATGTACGGCCAAGAGAAATTAATGACATAATCAAGACGTTGACATTCCACGCTATTTCAAATAAAATATTAAGAAGAAAACCTCTGTAAATAGAGAAAAGTGTGATAACAGCTGCAGGACTTTAGAAACCGAATTTCTTCTTTAAATATTGATTTTTCTTGGTGTTGCCATTGTTGATGAAAGAATGCTCTCAGTGTATTATCCAAAAATGTAAAGGTTTTACAAGTAACATTCCTGGAATATAGTAAAGTAATTACTATGACTTGATCAGAAAAAAATTACTAAATACCGAATTAATAATTTTCCATTAATAATGTCGACGTTTTATGCAATGAATATTAAGTAAAAAAGCGTTGTAAGTTATCCGGAAATATTTCAAATTTTACAGTTAAGAGACACTTATTATATGCATAATACATAATTATAATGTATTTCATCATGTAAGAGTCCTTTAGAATAGTATTTGAATATAACTTTGAAATGTTAATATACAGGCTGCGAGTTTTTCTCAATTTTTGACAGTTTTCGACTCATAATTCATACAACATAAATAATTGCTTCTTGTTAGAGAATCTTGTTTGCATATAGCATTCTTTAAAGTAATATATACATCCGAGTATTATTAAATTTTCATCTAATTTGCTCAGAGCTGGGTTTTTTCCAGGAAAGTGATTCACCATTACTATCTTGTAGAGTTCTTTTATGAAGGTGTTAGCATTTTCTAATTCTCAGTATTGTCATATGTCAGTATTATGGACGAAGGAAAGAAAATGTCACGCCACAAACCAACAAACTTGTTAATAACAACATTTTCTAACTCCACTTTTATACATTTTTCTTTTGAGGAAACTACAGAATATTCCATAGATTTTTGGATTTTTTTCTGTTGCTTTCGCAAGTTCTGCAAACAGTTGTCTTTTTGTACAGAATTCCAATGGTTCTTCTTTCCCTATGTTACATGGCCCTTCAGAATATATGGGATGTTGACTCTCCAAAATTTCCTACCATTTATAGCTTTTAATAATATTTATCTGTTTGCTATCCACCACTAATCTCTGTTCTGATAAACATTTAAACAGGCCCTTTAGGTAGGATGTTGGGTGTTTACGTCTGACTCACTTGACTTCGTAAGTGGTAAATTCTTCAAACCTTAATTCCACATTATGTGTCGCAGAAATTTCGACTCATTTTCAATATTTCTATATCTCTTTACCATTTTCTTTTAATTAAATGCTCCCCGTATCACTTTCTAACAAAATATTAAGAGACTGGAATATCTCATTAAAAACGAAGAGTAGGGAACATATATGAAATATCTGTCCGCATATCAATCTCCGAACTGATGAGGAAAGTATTGGTAACTGAAGCGTCGTTCTGTAGAAAGATGCTGATAACAGAGACTGCACATTTGAGTAAAAAGAAATTCTTAAGGAAAATGGAAATATACAGGAGACATATTTAGAATTAGAGATAATAGGCATTTCTAATCCACATATTAAGGAAGGAGGGCCGAGGTTATTTGACATTCACAGGACATACGGAAGGCGAGAGTAACAACGGGAAGAAGTAACTTACCTAAAGAATATGATCAAATTGATGAGAGAACAAGGTCTGTTAGGAATAATCGAAAAGACAACCTGAGACATGAGAGATAAATAATAGGAAATTGCGGAGAGCCATGAACGGCCAGCTTTTAAGGGACACAGCAAAAAGTAGAAGTCTATCTGTTCTCTCTATCTCTCTCTCTCTCTAATATCTATCTATCTATCTATCTATCTATCTATCTATATATATATATATATATATATATTCAAACAGGTTTGCTGAATGAATTTAAACATATCATGATGTATTTTAGTTGTAATTTTTCCAAGATCACGACTTAATTTCTTGGTATATGAAAGAAAATGGAAAAAATAACAAAGATTTCTTTCAAATAGTTTTTATTTTTCCAAGTACTTTCAATCTTTTCTGAGACCGGTGGGGGGGGAGTTAAATGGTCTGTGAATGTGCATACGAATTTCTGTAAATTCCTAACATTTCAACTGTTTACTGCTATATGCATTGTTCTATATTTAAAAATTCAAAATTCTCGTGTTTTCTCGTATGAGTGCGGCAACGTTTTCATTTTACTTATTTATTTACTATTATTCTTTTATACATAAATTCATACATACATATATACATACATACATACATAAATACATACATATATATATATATATATATATATATATATATATATATATATATATGTATATGTATGTATGTATGAATATATATATATATATATATATATATATATATATATATATATATATATATATATATATATATAGCTGCTGTTATAAACATTTATAACGTTTTTTGCTATACTCATAGCTGACATTATTTATTTTCAGCTTTAATTCCCGCTTGCATTCTTCAGCCTATTTCTTCATAGTTGTATAGGAAGGTGAGTCCACAGCATCTATCTGTAACATGTTTAAATTCTAAGCACTAATTTTTTGTTTATTGCTAAAATGCTTATTTACAATTATCTCACATATTTCTCAATATTAAAAAATATTTAAAAATAAAATATATTTTTTCAAAAACTTTGTTTGAAGACGATTAATCGATTTAAAGTATAATTAATCTGATATCAATATACACATTATATAAACTTATGTATAATATTTGGTGGACACTCCTGCTGAAGACTGTATCGAAAAAAATGATCTTCACTTCGGGCGTGGCTGAGATTAATCTATTACAATAGAAAATATCTATTAATTAAATTAATTAAATCATGTTTACTCTTCAGGACGAAAGAAAGTGTAGCGTTTAGGAAAGAAAAACTGAAAATTTATTTCAACAGAAAAGATATTATATATATATATTTATGCGTATGTAATCCTTGTAGAATTTCTACAGTAGGATAGAAATGTGTATAGCTTTTCACGATAATGTTTATATTACTTTCTGGGAAAAATACCCGCCTGTCTCTTCACATATCTGCAAATATTGTGTAAATTTTCAAATTTCTCTCCTCGAAAGATGAAGTGGAAGCGGTATTTTCGCTTTCATTCTAAAACTGCTACTTCTCCATATTTACTGCTTGCTGCCGAGGATGACATATATAAATGTTT